GTTGAGTTGTGAAGTAAGGCGTCGACCCAAAGACTTCCACGCCTCTTTGTTCTTGTTGGCTGCCTTTCATTCTAGATCAGAGGAGATCGAAAGAAATAGTCGGGTATAATTATTTACTCGTGTAGTTTCTAACATCTTCTTCAGTAAAAGACCGGTTGATTTCAGAGGAGCCAGTAAGTCTGTGGCCTCTGACACAGCAACCATTGTATCCGCTGCGAATATGAGCATATCTCTCGTTTCTTCGTATGCGGCATTTTGACGAGGCCTGGAAGTAGTCGATGTGGATGGCTGGTTTAGATTCATCTCCTTTCCCGTCTTTGACTCTCGATCTCCTGTAGCAGGTTTCTTCTTCTTGCTACTCATGGCCCAAGCGGAAGGTGACAGAGAATAACAGCAAATGTACAAGTCGAAGGTTTCTCCGACTGATTCACCACCTTGCCGACCTCGTTGAATGAAGGAGGTTCCATAGCTGTTCGTTCACAGAAAAGTGGATGTTGACCTACTCTATGATCAGAGGTTTATTGAGAGAGGAAATTTGCTTGAATTATGGAGTTATAACTCGTTCACCTTGGGGGAGTTAGAAAACGATACAGTAGTGCAACCAGCGGAAAAAGGCTACCAATTTTGACCCAAAATGTCGAGAATGACCTTATATAAGAAATAAAATCGTCTTGCTCTTCAGATATTGAGGCTAATATACAGATCATTTTGGCACTCTCGAATTGTTTGTGAAAGCCCCAAGGTAGAGGTATATCAGTATAACCGCCTGAATTGCTGCTTAATTTGGATTTAACGTGATCGAATATCGGTGTATTTCGTGTATCCTGGACTATGGCCAGCATTGGAGGCAAGGTTGTGAGCAGGAGCAGAACAATGCACCTCCTTTGTTTCTCCTTTGCCTACCACCGACCATCACAACACATAGCTATGATAGAGGACCATAGAAAAAGAGGTCTGGGTAGATAAAAGAGCTATGATGGTCTAGATTGGTTGTCTTATCCTACAGAATTTGGAGGCTACTACCCGTACAACGTTACTAATGTTCAATTAGTACTCGATGTAGCAAGGTTTCCTACAGCATTATCCCATTCTTTAAAACTTTGGAATGTTTTCCAAGCCTCTCCACTAGTTATACTCTGTCTCGCCAATTCTACGCCCTCCTTGACATCCTTTGCTATCTCGGCGACAACGAGTACAGCCGCGGCATTGATGAGAACGAAATCAAAGATCGGTTTCAGTTCGCCTTGAGCGGCCTCTTGCGGCTGGGTAAGAAGTTTTGTGAATATTTCTGCGTTCTCTCCTGGTCCCTTGCCTCCAGCGACATGTGCCAGGAGGTGTGAATCGACCCCAAATGTCTCTGGAGATATAATAGACTCTTTGAATGACACTGTTCCAGCTTCACTTTTCCTAAATTCCCAAACTCTTGTTCGGCCTGCACATGATATCTCGTCCAGATGCTCCTCGCCACAGACAACCATAGCGTGCTGAACAGTTTCATCTTTGCTCAAGGCCTGAACAAATGTTTCTCCCAGTTTTGGATGCGCTACACCTAAGACCAATCCACCTGGGCGAGCAGGATTTACGAGGGGGCCGACCAAGTTTAGAATTGTTCTGTGAGGTAATGACCGTCGAATGGGTGCAAGTGGGCCTAGAAGAGGATGGTAGTGGGGCGCCATGAAGAATCGAAAAGAAGGATCCGATAGTGATACGGAGGGTGCGGTACTTGGAGGCGAGAGGGGACATCCTAAAGCCATTAGCAGATCCGCAGATCCAGATGAGGACGTCGACGCGCGATTACCATGCTACCAAATGAAGTTTATCAGTTATAATATTAAATCTCTATGACATATATTACCTTATGTACTCGAGCACCGGCTCCTGCAGCGACGACAGCAGCAGTAGTGCTGACGTTGAAAGTATTGTGTCCATCCCCACCTGTTCCAACAATATCTACTGTTCTCCTTCGATCATCCTCAGCTTGTGGCGAGTTGACTACGACCGAGTGTCGTCGTAGGACCTCTGCAGCACCAGCCAAGACTTCACTGTCACTCTCCATTCCACTCAGATGGAGTGCAGTAAGGAAGCTGCCAATCTGACTTGGGAGGACGCTCCCAGGGATCAACAAGTGCTCTATAGCTAGTGTAGCATCTGCTCGATTGAACGATGCTGGTGCTGAGATCAGTTTTCCCAATAGCTTTCTGAATGTCTCGGGTGACAGGTCTGGGTTTGAGAGATTTGGTTGTTCTGACATGGTTTAGATTCGAGATTTCTAAGAAGCCTTATAGTTTTCCGGGGCAATACGTGTCGAACGGTGACCGATAGTCAAAATTGAAGAGTGCTGCATTTCAAATTTGATCAGTGAGAGACCTGTCGAGAGCTGATTATAGATGACGAAAGAATTACTTACATGGGTATCTATCTGGAGTGATAACGAGGAGACGATGGATCAGGGTCAAGTCACAAACCAGGACGAACTCGACCCAGTCATTACGCCCGACCGAGCAAGCTCCGATTACTCCTCCGACATTCAGCCATCTCACTCGGTACTCATAACAGGCCATCTCACTTTCTATATTCAGACTACTCGGGTCTAGCCCAGCGGATGCACGCACGTTACAGGGGACTGAGATCAATCAATGGACCAAAGGATTCACGAGTTTCACCCTGGATAAATTGATGTTAAGAAATTTGGTTCTTTATTCCACTACAAAGAGATAAACCTCGACGCCAAACAGGTTATAGAGACAAACGAGGGCACGAGTTTAGGTACAGGATACAACTCGGTCAATAGACCAGATGTAGACACAGTACACATCTCTGCCGCCATGGCAGTCTTTTTTTTGGAGTATGAAACCCAATAACCAGAGAGGCCAGCTAGATAGCACGGTGTACTGCTTAAATATCGCAAAAGAAATACTGGAAGGTGCGACGGCATACGAGAAGAGAGGCCGAAGATAGATAGGGGTTCGGGGGACTGAGTGATGATTCAGTTGAGGATGGGGAATCGCAGAGTACGGGAGAAAGGCGGGAGAGGCATTAAGGGATATAGGTGATGTCAAAGTAAATAGCATGAGGGGAACCAACCATGGATCCGTAGGTGATCCAATGGCGAGGAATGGGGCGGATATGTGGATTTTGATAAGAGATTTTATGTAGTCTTCTTCCACATGGCGCTTTCCTTGCATTTCGCTACGAGCTTCTTTAAATCTTGGCTTCTTGCGCGAGTAGTGACCAAGAGTGCGTCGGGAGTATCGACAATGACCAAATCGTCCACACCGAGGCAAGCGACTAGGCGTTGAGAAAGGGGAGCAATGATACCGCCAGCAACGTGTTGGTGGATGACGTAAGAAGAGTCGCCAAGGATGGCCATTTGGTTGGACTCCTTTGGTAACATGTCAGAAAGGGAAGAGAAGTCTCCCAAGTCGTCCCAACCTGTAATGTGTATTAGTTATTCTCTTCCAGAGGCATTGTAGTAAAAGTATCTCACCGAAAGTAGCAGGCACGACTGCTACTTTACCCTCCAAAGCAGCGGGTTCTGCGACCGCATTATCAATAGCAATCTTGGGAAGTCCACCCCAAACCTCTCCCAAGATCTTTTTGCGTCTCTCCACCGCTACACTATCCGAGTCACCCTCGAGCTCCCACTCTTGGGCAATCTTTTCCAACCCCGCCGCCAAACTGGGCTCGTGCTTTTCCAGCAATGCCATGAGAACTTTGGCCCTGACGACAAACATACCCGCGTTCCATCGGTAATCACCACTCTGGAGATAGCTCATGGCCGTCTTTGCATCGGGCTTTTCCTTGAACTGATTGACGAGTCTCG